ACAGAAGAAGTAAATGTTTGAAGGGGAGAATGAGTATAATGCATGTGGGAGTGGAGGGTGTAGAGTGAGGAGCAGTAGGAGATAAAGTTGGATAGTCTGGGTGGAACCAGATTTCAGAGGACCTTGGAAATTAGGAAAAGGAGTTTAAAATTGGTGAGCCATTATATGTTCTTGGGCATAGAATTGACATAGGAACAATTCATGGGAATGAAATTAGTTTTTTTTTTGAGCATTTCTTTAACTACATCACAGTCAGAATTCTGTGGGAGCACACACATTTTGCTATGTATCCCTCTGCCCCAAACAAGTGCCTTTGTTTCCCTCACACCTCACCCAGTATTTTATATTTATTATATATTTAAGTGGTTAGTGAATTTTGATTTCTTAATTATCACTTGAGGTAAAAGAAGGATAATTAGGAAATAGTAGCCTATCAATTTCTTGAACTTTTCTTTTCCCTAATGCTTTTGTGGAGGGCTTCTTCACAGAGCAGGGACAGAATCATGCTTCTCAGCTTAGCCTACATTGTGCTTTAGTGTTTATAGGGAGAAAGCAAATTCAACATGATGAACACCAATCACACTGTCTTCCACCCTGCCGTGTTTGTCCTGCTTGGCATCCCAGGCTTGGAGAGATACCACATCTGGCTCTCCATCCCCTTATGCTTTATATATGCAACTGCAGTGCTAGGGAACAGTGTTCTGATCCTGGTCATTGTCATGGAGCGCAGCCTCCATGAGCCCATGTACATGTTTCTGTCCATGTTGGCTGGCACTGACATCCTGCTTTCCACTACCACTGCACCCAAAGCCTTGGCTATCTTCTGGTTCCATGCACGGGACATCACCTTTGATGCTTGTATGACTCAAGTCTTCTTCGTCTATGTGACATTTGTGGGAGAATCAGCTATCTTGATGGTCGTGGCATTTGATCGCTATGTAGCCATTTGTGCTCCTTTAAGATATTCAACAATACTGACAACACCTATGGTACGTAGGCTAGCCTTAACCATTTTCCTCCGGAGCTTCTGCATCGTCTTCCCTATCATCTTCCTGCTAAAGAGATTACCCTTCTGTAGGACCAATGTAATCCCCCATTCTTACTGTGAACACATTGGGGTAGCCAAACTGGCCTGTGCTGATATCACTGTCAACATATGGTATGGCTTCTCTGTCCCCATTGTTACGATGATCACCGATGTGGTGCTCATTGCAGTGTCCTATACCCTGATCCTCCGGGCCATCTTTCGGATGTCCTCTCAGGATGCCCACCAAAAACATTCAACACTTGTGGCTCTCATCTTTGTGTAATTCTTATGTTTTATTTCCCATCCTTATTCACTGTATTGATTCATCATTTCTGGGGCAATTTCCCATGCCATGTACATATCCTACTGGCCAATCTCTATGTGGTGGTGTCTCCCACGCTCAACCCCATTGTTTATGGGGTGAAGATGAAACAGATCAGAGAGGCTGTGGCTCACTTTTTCGTGGAGATCAAGAAGTAGTTTTCCTCATTCTCACTGGGCTAAGGTTTCCTTGATTACATTCTTCAGCAAGGTTTTTTTTCCTAAGAAGCCAAGCATAGAATTCCCTGATCTGGAGATACCTACCCCTTTGGACATTACCTTTGTAATTCTTTTCTTCTTTCAAAGAGATCATTAAGCACTATGTTATGCACATAGTTTGCCTTAGAAATTACAAATAACAAGTAACTCAAGAGTTCCTTACCTTCT